GCCCGGATGAAGAACATGAGGTGCTGGCCCTATAGGGAGTGCTCCCGCCTGAGCATTCCTTGCGACTCACTCGCGGACGCGTCTCCCGCTCGAGACTTCCTGAAGATGAATGCGCGAGTGCGTGGGCGCGTGCGAAAACTGGCGCGGCTGTGGTGACGATGATGGTGATGGTGCTGATGATGATGAGGATGAGGATGATGGTATTGACGAGGATGATGATGCTGATGGTGATGGTGATGCTGAGTATGATGCTGCTGATGATGGTGCTGTTGCTGATGATCTCTGATGATACTGGTGATGATGATGCTGATGATGATGCTGATGGTGTTGATGTTTATGATGATGAGGTTGATGACGATAATAATGATGATGATGATGATGATGATGTTAATGATGATGACGATGGTGGTGATGATGATGCTGCTGATGATGATGAGTGAGGCGACATGGTTTTAGGTAGGTGATGGGCAAAAGTGAATGAGTGTGGATGATGATAATGATGCTGATGCTGATACTTATGATGATGCTGATGCTGATGCTGGTGCTGATGATGATGATGGTGGTGGTGGTGATGATGACGCTGATGATGATGATGCTGATGATGATGATAATGATGATGATGATGATGATGATGATGATGATGATGATGATGATGATGATGATGATGATGATGAGTTGATGTTGATGCTGATGATGATGGTGATGAGTGTGCAAGCGTGAGTGCGAGTGCGTTAGTGTGAGTGTGGAAGAGGGAAGGGGGGGAGGAGGAGGATATCCTGCGCGGCGGATGTGCAGAGACAACCAACACCCAATTTTGGATTTTTTTTGGGGGGGGTAGCCGCGCTCTTCTGCTGCTCCGCCCTCCGCTCGAGGGCGACCGCCGCTGGGCGCGGGCACTGCAGGTAGGAGCGGGGCGGCCTTGCCAAGGGCTTCCTGCGGCCCGCTCGGCCTCCTCGAGGTGGGCCGGCATACATACATACATGCATACGTCCATACCTACATATGTACATCCACATACACATACACATACACATACACGCATACACACAGATACATACATGCATGCATGCATGCATGCATGCATGCATGCATGCATGCATGCATGCATACATACATACATACATACATACATACATACATACATACATACCTACATACATAGATACATACATACATACATACATACATACATACATACATGCATGCATACACACATGTGTACACATATTCGCACATATATCCGCGATGCTCCTGACTGCCGTTCCGCTGATTACCTACGGCTGTGGTTGCCGGCGGCTGCGTGCGCAGCCTCCCTCACGTGTTGGTTGTAATGATCGTCGTCGACGGGTGGCTCCTTGAACTTACATAATGGCGTGGTAGGTCTCGTAGCTGATGACTTGATGTAGCAAGCTCGTTCGGCGTGGAGGCCCAAGCCCCAGTATGTACAATGCGCCATTGGCCCTGCCCTCGGTCCGGGTCACCTCGAAGATCAGGTGGTGCCGCCTTGGGCAGATGATGTAGTGGTCCCAGGAGTCCTCCGCCAAAGGGAAGCCGCATTTGAACAAGCACCCTCGCCGGTGTCTCTCGTGCATTCTGTGGCTCGTGTGCCACCCGTTCATCCAGGGCTTCAGCACGACCATGCGCTGGTAGGCAGAGATCCTCCTGAGAGTCGGCAGGATGGTGTCCCAGCGGACTCGCCTCGCGTTCAGAATGCAATGCTCGTTCAGTCGTGGCTGGATGAAGTCTTTCAGCGGGGTGTTGAAGAGCACCCCGTGTATCTCGTCGTATACCTGGGACTGGAAGGACTTCTTGCTCGGTCAGCGCGCGGGTGGCGTGGAAACCAATAGCCTAGCCCGCGCAATGCCTGCCGCCAGCGCGGGGCCTATCTTGGCGAGCGTGGTCGCGGTGCCAGGCTCCGTCATGGACTTAAGGATCCAGCAGTGAGCAGGCGCCTTCCAATGATCATCCCATGGTATTCCCCGTCCGGCCTGGTGGAGAGTCGCGTCTTCATTCATCGTGTCACAGCCGGCTTTCCACTGCAGGGTCTTGTCGGCGGTCGTATTCCGATATCCTGCAGTCGTTGCGCCGCCCCCACTGCAAAAGTCTGCGGTGGGGCGTGGAGGACAGCATTGGTTGCACCCATCTCCTTCCGCGCCATGTGGTCGGGCGGGTAGGCGATCTGGGCAATGTACCCCAGCACCGGTATGCACCTGGAGTTGTAGGTGTGGACGCCCAGCGCGAATGCCTGATGTGCCTGGGCCACACATGTGCTCCGCAGCTGCCACTTCGCCACCGGGCCGTGCCATATTCGCACATATATACATATATATATACATCTACAGACATACATTCATACGTACATACATACGTACAAGCACCACGTTACATTCCATTCCATTCTAATCAATTGCATTACATTGCACGCATGCGTGCATTGCATGCATACATACATGCAGACATACAAGAACATGTACATGTACACGTGCATAAAAAACACATATACACGCCTGCACGCATACATACATACAGATTTCCTGACATGCATAAATCAATACATACACATGCATACTTGCATGCACACACATGCGTCCATACGTACATACATACATACGTATACATACATACAGACATACGGGCATGCATACACGCATGCGTTGCATGCATACGCACACACATACGTACACCTACATACAACTATACATACATACATCCATTCATCCATCCATACATACATACATGCATGCATACATACATACACACACATGCAAACATACATACATACATACATACATACATACATGCATACATAGATACATACATAAATACATACATGCATACACACATACATACATACATACATACATACATACATACATACATACATACATGCATGCATGCATACATACATACATACATACATACATACATACATACATACATACATATACACATACACACATGCCACACAAACATACATACATACATACATACATACATACATACATACAGACATACATACATACATACATACGTACCTATATGCATGCATACATACATACATGCATACATGCATACATACATACATACATAAGTGCATGCATACAATCATACACACATACAAACATACATCCATACATCCATGCATGCATGCATACATACAAACATACATACATTACAGTACATTACATTACATTACACTACATTACATTACATTACAATACATTACATTACATTGCATTACAATACATTACATTACATTACATTACATTACATTACATTACATTACATTACATTACATTACATATATACATACATACATACATACATACACACATACATACATACATACATACATACATACATACATACATACATACATAAATACATACATACATACATACATACATACATACACACATACACATCCACATCCACATACATACTAGAACCATCGCGCGCGCTCCGCGCGCGCTCAGGTTCTAGCCCAGGCCGCATGTAGACGTACATGAAGGTTTCTGGGGAAGCCTCTCAGAAGCCCGTTGGGCCCTCTTGGGGGTCTCCTGGGGGCTTCCTGGGAACCTCGGGGGGCCTCTTTGAAGCCTCGTGGGGGGCCTCCGGAGGCCCTTTGGGGCCTGCAGCGGGCGTCTTGGGGGCCTCTTCCAGCCTCTTGGGGGTCTCTCAGGGGCTTCTTGGGGGCCTCCTGGGGCGGGGGGGCTGGAAGGTTCAGTCGGGTTTCCCGTCTTGGGCCCCTCTTGGGGCCCTTCGGGGACGCGTTTGGGCCGTCCTGGGCGCCTCTTGGACTGTCCTGGGCCCCTCTGGGGCCGTCTTGGGGCTCTCTTATGGGCTTCGTGGGCCGTATTGGGGCGGTCTAGGGAGAGTCTGAGGTCGAAAAGGACGGTACGAAGGCAACAAAAAACGAATATGGTAAAAATGCACGTTTTGCGAAGGGAACGGGGGTATTTTTGCTTCCCGGGCCGTCTGGGGGGATCTCTTCGAGGGGTCTTCGAGCGTGTTGGAGGCGTCTGTGGCGATTCGAGACGCCTCTGGAGCTGCCGGAGACCGCTGGAGGTTGTCTTCAGGGTGGCGCTGGGCGGCCTGGGGCCGCCTGGACGGCCGCCGTCTGGGCGCTCCGGGGGCCGACCTGGGGCCCGGCGGGGAGCGGGCTGGGCCCGACGTCCCCCCATTTGTGGTCGGGGCTGCGGCCCCGGGCTGGGCCCGACGTCCCCCCATTTGTGGTCGAGGCTGCGGCCCCGGGGCCCCCAGGCCCGGTCCGGCGTTATATGTATACATACATACATACATACATGCGGTTCAGTCTAAGTATGCAGTGCAATCTGTGCAGTGCATTCTATGTAATGCAAGCTAGATTGTGCAAGCTATGCGGTGCAAGCTATGCTTTATGGTGCAACATATCTGGTCGATCCACCGCATCCGCAGGATCCGCATTGCAGCCTTGAGTCGTTTTTGCGGGCTGCCCCAGAGCTGGAAAAAGAGCCTCCATGGAGGCAGCACCTTGCCTCAAAACCCTGCCGTCGTTACTTCTGTGACGGCGCGGTGGGGTTGGTTTTCGGGCCATAGCTTTAGGTCGGGCATGTCCTCCTACAGGCGGAGCTTGGACGAAGAATCAAGAATATCAAACAAATAACCAAAAATAGCCAGACGATAGTTAAACAAAAGTCGTCCCCATATTATTTTGGGACTATTTTTGAATATTCCTCCTGTAAAGGGATATGCTCGACTTAGCTATAGCTCGGGCCTCAGGCGGCCGCTTGGGACGATCCGGGCACCCCTGGAACGCTCTTGGCGAGGCGCAGGTGCTGGAGAGCGTCCCAGCGTCCCGTGCCTGGGAAACCGCCGAGAACCACCGAACGCCGCCGAAAGCTGTCAGGCGCTTCTGAGAGGCCTTCTCCCCTCCCCCTGCCCCCCACTGCGCGTGGCCGAGCAAGGCACCGGCACCCGATCCTCCCCCGATCACCGATCCCTCCCTCCCTCGATGGCGCCGTCTGGCACTTCGTGCCTCCGCTGATGCGCTGCAGCTGGCGCAGAACCAGGTGCGTACCGTGGTAGCCGCCCGAGATGGCCACCCTCCTTCGGGAACGGAGGGGGAGGGAGGAGGCGAAAGGTCGAACGCATCGGAGCGTATCGGAAAGGGAGAGGGGCATGGATATGACGGGAGAGCTGATACGAAGAGAGAGAGAGAGAAGGGGAGACAAGGGGGGAGAGAGAAGGCCTGCGCTCATGTCATCGTCGTCCACCTCCTCCTCCTGGGGTTCCCCACGCGTCCAGCTCCATTGCTTGCCTGTGCCATCCTCCTTCCTCGTCCTCCGCCTCCTACGTCTGCGCCGCTCCATTGTTCGCCCTGTGCCTTCCTCCTCCTCCCTCCTTCCTCCTCCTCCTTCCTCCTCCTTCCTCCCTCCCCCTCCCTCCTCGTCCTCCATCGTCCTCCTTCCTCCTCCTCCCTCCTCCTCCTCCTTCCTCCCCCTCCCTCCTTCCTCCTCCCTTCCTCCTCCTCCTCCTTCCTCTTCCTCCCTCCTCCCTCCTCGTCCTCCATCGTCCTCCTTCCTCCCCCTCGCGTCCTCCCTCGTCCTCCTTCCTCGTCCTCCTTCCTCGTCCTCCTTCCTCGTCCTCCTTTCTCCTCCTCCTCCTCCCTCGTCCTCCCTCGTCCTCCTCCCTCGTCATCCTTCCTCCTCCTCCTCCCTCCTCCTCCTCCTCCCTCCTCCTCCTCCCTCCTCTTCTCCTCCTCCTCCTCCTCCTCCTCCTCCTCCTCCCTCCTCCTCCTCCTTCTCCTCCCTCCTCCTCCTCCTCCTCCTCCTCCCTCCTCGTCCTCCTCCCTCCCCCTCCCTCCTCGTCTCTCCTCCCCCGTCCTCCCTCCTCCCTCCTCCCCCTCTGGTCTGGGGGCGGTCTGGCGGAGCGCCGGGGGCCTCCTTGGGGGGAGGGGGGCGGCACTCGCCGGGAGCCCGTCACAGGCGTGCTCGGGCGGGGCTCTGCGGGGGTTCCGAGCCGCAGCTCCACCCGGGTGCCTACGGGCGGCGAACGTAGCCTAAGATTAGGTCGGGCCTGTCCCCCATGCAGGCCGATCTTCGAGGAAAAATGAAAAGCAGCCAAAAACATGTGCAAGAATAACAACAAATCATAAGAAATAGTCCCCAGACAATTGTTCCACTGTTTTTGAATATTCCTCCTGTGGAGGGGCAGGCCCGACTTAATCCTAAGACGAATCTGGGTGACCCAAGAGGGGGTCCAGCGGACAGGGGGTGGTGCAACAGGTTTGGGGGTCAATTGTATTGCAAATGTTTTGCGCCAGATAGTTGTGCTGCGTTGCATTGCAGCTATAGTGTGTTGCACGCGAAGATCCAGCAATACATCTGCGCCCTGGGATGCATTGCACGCCCCAAATCCACTGCAACCCCACAAATCTATTGCAACCCCACAAGATCTATTGCACCAAATCTATTGCACCATCGCTGGACCCCCTTTTGGGTCAACCCGAACGAAGCCAGGACGAGGAGAACATCGGGTGAACATACATCGAGAATAACTGAGATCCAACGGCTCCGGAGGCCTTCGGGCGCCGCGTCCTCCTCGGAGCGTTCCGGATCGCTCCCAGAGCGGTCGGGGACGCCCCGGGGCGGATTCATGCTCCGTCCCAGCCCTGACTCCAGATCCGCCCTACTTCTTGCCTTTTTTTTCCAACTTAAAGTTGCGTCGGAAACCCAATTATAAGAAAGTAGGGCGGAAATTTCTGCACCCAGCATAAAGTTGGGCGAAAAGCCACAGAAGTAGGGCGGAAACGACAACAGAAACGTAGGGCGGAAATTGGCATCGGGCGGGGCTTGAAAAGTGAGGCGGAAATTCCAAGCCCTACTTACGAACTTCCCCAGAGTAGGGCGGATCCGGAGTCAGGGCAGCCCCGTCCGATATCCTCACCCACGCCCTCGCGGTCTATAGGTTCCAGGGCGCGATCCTGTGGGTGCCCGGTCGTAGGGGTGCGCCATGCGTGAGGAGGGAGGAGGAGGAGGAGGAGGAGGAGGAGGAGGAGGAGGAGGAGGAGGAGGAGGAGGAGGAGGAGGAGGAGGAGAGGAGGAGGCAACGCGGCGTGCGGCGTCGCGGCCCTGCCCGCGAGGCCGTGGGCACGGAGGCGTGTGCTTCGCCCACGGAGTCGAGGCAAGGGGCCGCCCCGCCTCCCCCCAGCGGCTGCGGTGCGCACGAGACGATCCGTGCTTGGGGTGCGCCCTGACTCCAGATCCGACCTATACTTCTTGGCTTTTTTTTCCAACTTAACACTGCGTCGAACATCCACTCATAAGAAGCCGAAAAAGTAGGGCGGAAGTTTCTGCACACAGCATCAGATAGGGCGAAAATCCACAGAAGTAGGGCGGAAACAACAACAGAAAAGTAGGGCGGAAATTGGCATCAGCGGGGCTTGAAAAGTAAGGCGGAAATTCCAAGCCCTACTTACGAATTTCCCCAAAGTAGGGCGGATCCGGAGTCAGGGCGGCCCGCGTGCACTGGCTACTCCGGATGTCACAATCACAAAAGGGGCGTGGTCTGATCTGGGAGGGGGTCTGATGTGTGAGCTGCCTTGGGAGGGCTCCAGCGAATCTGGGCAAAAAAGGCCGCCCTTGCATGGCTGGTCGGGGGGGTGTCTGCAACGGCTCGTCTGGCAGGGTTGTGGCCCCCGCCCTCTTATTACGAAATTTCGAGTGGGCTTTGGGGGTCCGAGCCGAATCTCCACTGGGGTCCAGGCAGAGGCCCCACCCTCCGGGGATTGCCCCTCCAAAGACATTGAAACCACACTGATGCGCCCCTCTGACGGCAACTTTCGAAAAAAGGCTAACTCTTGGTGCGAGCTGCAGCGAACGCTGCGATGCGCGCACGTTGGCGGCGAGCTTGGGGGGAAGCGAGAGGGGACGGGTCTTCTCAGAAGGCGGCGAGGCTTCTCAGAAGCTCTCGCGCCTTCTGAGAAACCGTCCCTGTCTTCGGAGGAGGAGGAGGAGAGGGAGGAGGAGGAGGAGGAGGAGGAGGAGGAGGAGAGGGAGGAGGAGGAGGAGGAGGAGGAGGAGGAGGAGGAGGCGGAGGCGGAGGCGGAGACAAGGCTCAGAAAATTTCTCAGAAGGCCGGAAGCCTTCCGAGCCTTCTGAGAAGGCTCGCCTCCTCCGTCTTCCCCCCCGGGCTCGCCGCCACACGGGGCTACGGCCGGGAACTCTTGGATCGCGTGTTCCCACGGCAGCCCTGGCGACACACTCTGCCCTGCGAGCAGATGGAGCGTCGCTCTGCTCAGCGCGGCGGGAGGCCTAGAAAGGCTCGTGACGTTGACGCCGGGCGGCCGGGGAGTGGACAGCGTGTCGCGCCGAGGCGTGGTGGCCGGAACTGGCGGAACGGTTCGCTATCCAAACGTTCCAGACCGTGAGACGGTCCAAGGTGACCTCCGAGACAGCCAAGATGGCCTCCAATACAGTCTCCAAGGCGGTCCAAGATGCCCTCCAAGAGGGCCCAAGGTGGTCCAAGATGGCCACAAGACAACCAAGATGGCTCCCAGACGGCCCCGCCCCGCCTCTTCGGGTCGCCCAAGGCTCCCTCCCCCCGCATCTTTCGCTAAGATCGAAGTGGGTACGGAAAGAATGGGTACGAAGACCTACCAAAATCTTGGCCATTTTGAACAGGGTACGCTGTCGGCGTCGCCGCAGACGTTGTCCATTTGAGACAGAAGGCCGCCTGCACAACAGCGGCCGCGATCGGGTTGGGGCAACATCTGTTGTTGGGCATCGTATCCGGTTGTCCCCTACCCTTCTCGGGCGTCCAGACTCATCTTGCCGCCCAGGACTTGGTTTGCCTCACGGGTACCTCGTTCAGTTCTTGTTGCATAGGACTGCTCTCAAACGCTGGGTGCAGCTCAGTCACGCTGTCGTCCTTGGAAGACTCAAGCTGAAGCCCCCCAAACAGGGCTGCGGAACGGGAGACGGAGACCCTGGCGAGAAAACTCCCCATGCCTCCGCAACTGCATGAGGGCTGGCATGTATGGCACGTCTGTGGAATGTCCCCCCCCCCCCACCCCCCCGTAGCGCATGGGGGCCGCAAACAAAAGTCCAGTCCCGCCCGCCCCCCCGTGCCCTCGTTCCTCGAGGACCGACGGGGGATGCCTGAAGTCGAACTCACCACCGTGTCTGCCTGCTCCTCCTCCGCTCCTCCATTCCGCCCTGCCCCGAGGGGCCTCCCTGCGGCACGCAGTCCGATGACGCAGTCCGAGCACGCAGCCCCCTCTTGCCCCTGATCCTTCCTCCCTGCCCGCTCTGTCCCGCCCGTGTCTCCTTCACCCCCGTGCCGCTCCCACCTCCTCCCCCAGCCCTCTCTCCTCCTGCTCCTGCTCCTCCTCCTCCTCCGCCTCCTCCTCCTCCTCCTCCTCCTCCTCCTCCTCTTCCTCCTCCCCCATGCCTCTCTCCTCCCCCTCCTCCCAGTCGGCCAGGGCCGAGCCGGCACAAAGACATCACGCCCGAGGGCTCCGAGTGCTACGGCGCCGTCCGCGCCTCCGCGGCCGCCGCCGCCGTCGCCATCGTGGCCGCGCCACCCCCGTTGCCGCCGCCGCCCGTGGGATCCGACGCCGCGAAACGATCAGCATCACGACAAATCACGGCCAGAGCCCTGCACCTCCGCCTTCCTGCCGCACCTCTCGAGCGGCACCGGCCCGCGAGGGCCCCGGCGCCCGAGGAGCACGGCCTCAAGACCGCCTCGGTGTGCGCGAGCAGCGGCGCCCGGATCTCGGGGCCCCCCCTGCTGGTCCGAAAAAAAATCGTCCCCCTGGACCTCCTCCTGGCGCGCGTTCGACCCAGAACCTCGAGGCGGATCCAGCCGCGGCCACGAGGGCGCCCCCCTACGACGGCCGAAGCCGTCCAGAGAGCGCAGCCCCGACCGCAGGAGCTTGAGGCCCAGGCCGCAGGGGCTGCGGGGCCGTCGCCGCGGCCCTCCCGTCGCCGCCGCGGCGGGCGGAGCGGGCGGGGGCGCCCGGGCAGGGCGCGCGACAGGACCGCGAAGGCGGCCGCGAGGCCGGAGCCGTAGAGCACCTGCGGGGACAGCACGCGACCACAGCCACGTCGAGGACACTATGTTGCATCCTCGGGGGACCTTGGCTGTCCTGTCGCGACCCTATCCGCGTCGAGTCCGTGTCGAATCCGTGTCGGACTCGTCGGATACGAGTCGAATCCGTGTCGAATCCGCGTCGCATCCACGCCAAATCCGCGTCGAGAACGCATGGGGCCCGCGTCGGGCACACGAAAAGACAACAATTCTGGGGACAAGCGAGGTCCCCCGAATGTGCAACGCAAAAGACACCCCCTGGGGGGAATGTCCTGCGCAGGCCAGCCGTCGCCAGAACACCGAAGCCTCAGCTCGGTGCTGGCCGTGGTCGACGTGGCCTCCCTCCGGGCGGCCAGGTCGACAGCGGCCGCAGCCAGAGTGCCGAGTGCTTCCCCGGGGGGCCCGCCCGAAGAATCCACGCATCGGCTGCGCGCAAGAGTGGCCCCGGGCAAGAGCGGCCTGCGGTGCGCGACCATCCCGGGCCGCGGGGAGGTCAGACCCGGGCGCGCAGGACGCTGCTTCCGCATCGCGCTCAGTCATCTGTGGGCCCGAGTGCGCTCGCGCTTTGTGGGCCCCGGAAACGGCAGGGCCGTTTTTGCACCGTTTCCCCAAAAATGTCCATTGAACATGGAAACGGCAAAAAAACGGCGACCAGAAACGGCAAAAAAACGGCTCCAGGATCGGAACTGGAGCCGGAACCGGTCAAAAAACGGCGACGGAACCGGTAAAAAAACGGCGTCGGAACCGGCAAAAAAACGGCGAAACGGAACCGGTAAAAAAACGGCCCTGCCGCTTCCAGGGCCCACTAAGCCGCTCGCGCCAAAGGTCACTCGGGCGAAAGCTCACTCATGCGCGCAGCCGAACTCGGCTGCGGTTGTGGTTCTTGAGCAGGAACCGAACGTCCCGGCATTCCTATAGCCCCACCACGAAATGTTCTTAGAACCCGAAAATGTTGTAAGCACAAGAACCATGTTCGCAGAACATGAACCCGATGAGATAGAAAACAAGACAGACCCCGCCAGACATGTTCTGAGGACATTTCGTGGAAACCACAAAAGGTTCTTAGAACATTGTTTGGTAGGGCCATCGGCGAGCCAGGACGCTTCGCCACTGCTTGAGGCTCTTTGCTGTTCCCCGGGGCACCGCGTGCGCCGGCGCGGCCGGGGAGCCCTCCACGGCGGCGAGGAGTGCCTTCTCTGCGGGGCGAGCGCCGCCGGCGGCGGCGGGCGGCAGCCGCAGCGGCTCGCGCCGCGGTCGCCGCTGGCCATCGGCCCCAGAGGTGAAGACGAAGCCAAGGCGAGGATAGAATCGGGTGGGAATAAATCGAGAATCTCTGAAATCTGGCAGCGGTGGAGGATGTCTCATGATGTCTCGGGCGCCGCGGCCTGCTCACAGCGTTCCAGAACGCTCTGGGAGCGGTCCGGAGCGCCCCAGAACGGACCCAGACATGCGACGTCCCGATTTTTTCAAGACGGCGTCCCTGAGGTCCCGACCCGTTCCCCGGGACCAGTTTTTCGTCCTGGGGCCCCCCGACGCCGAAAATAGCCAAAAAGCTCCCGTCCTGATTTTTCGACGCGATCATGTCTTGGGATTTCTCCTCGTCCCAGCCCCGTCCGAGAAATCCTCGCTCCGCAAGTCTTTCGTATTGAGCGTTGACGGCCCATTTTCGGGACCAGGGGCCCTCAGGGATAGGTTCGGCTTGGTTGGTCAGCGCCGCAGAGACATGGGGTTCAGGCTGGTTCCGGGCGTGGTGTTTCACTTCGTGGCCTGCCAAGTTGTTTTCCTTCGTGGTGCCTTCACTACGTGGTGTTTCACTACGTGTCTGACGTGAGCTTTTCCTTCAGGGCTTGCCTGTAAGGGTCCGATGTGTCGCTTCGAGGCGTGCGTGCGCTCCCCCGGATCCGGAACCGGTGGCCCCTGACCGCGCGTATGGTCTACGGCCTGTACAACGCAAAATAGACAGTACTCTCTGTCCTCTCTGCGTATGCCGTTCGGGGCCATTCTGCTGGTTGGCCCGACTGGGAGGGCGTAGTGTTGGGCCACACAAAGGCCCAAGGAGCTCAAGGACCACCCCCGGCACACCCTCTCAGCCGTCCAGAGACTGCAAGAGGTGCCATGCCCGTCACGCCCCGAAAAAACCTCCGGCGGGGTCTCCTGCGAGGCTCCCGCGAAGCTGCTGCGAGGCGCGGGCGAGCCTCCTGAGAGGGTGCGTGCACGTTCCTGCGAGGACCTGGTATGCGCATGTGCGCAAGACGTGACTCTGCAGCGGTGGTGTATGTGTCCGTCTGCGAGAAAAAAAGGAAGGGCGAGAGAGAGAGAGAGAGAGAGCGGAGAAGAAGGAGGCGCGGGCGCAACGCAGGTGGGGGAGAAAACTATAGCCCCACTTAGCATGTGGGAAAACGAACTCCGAGGGGGAAATAAACATTCCCATCCCCCCAGAACGACCCCCGAGAGGGAGGGATGACCGCTTTCCCCCCCGCCCCCACCCCCCACACACCGCGCGCAGAGCCCCCCCTCCCCCCAGATCACTCCAGGCTTCCCCCGAGGGTATGCCCCTAAAAGGAGCGGCGTTGCGGAATCTGGCTTTCTCCGAGCATGTCGTTCTGAGAATTGTTCTGGGATGTCTTCAGAACCCTCGAGAGGCTCGGAGGGACCTTTCCACGCTCAAGGACGAGTGGAAGACACGACCGATTCTCGCAGGAAGCTCCGAGAGCAGGCGAATCCAGAGGATGCCTGGGGTGCCGCGCGATCTGGAGCGATGAGGTCGCCTGGCTCATGGCCTTCTTGTTGGATGCGTAACACATGATGCGTAACACATCTCCGCTACGCCCAGAATTCCCGAACCTCCAAGCTGCATGCCGAACTTATTCAGCGGCCGCACGGGGCCCTGGCCGCGTCGATTATCCAACGGGCGCAGGTGCAGAGCTCCTCGGGCGTATGTTCAGGACGCGCCGCTTGCTCCGCACGTCGTCACGTGTTCCCGGCGATATCACGGCGAATCTGGATGGGGCGTCCGTTGGCCACGTTGCCAACGGTGGCTCAATAGGCACCGCGGGCTCGTCAATTCTCGGCAGCTCGGGGAAGGCTGCCTGTTCGAGAATTGCTCGAGGCGTCCTGATTCGTACCCGTTGGGGCCCAGACTGGCGTGTATGTGGATGATCGAACAGAAAGAATCGATCCTGTGAATATGCTTCGTCCGACTTGCGATGCGCATCCCATTCGTCAGCCGCCGTGTGAATACTACGCGGGCCACCGTTGGCACCTCAGAAGGACGCCGGCCACACGAGACCTGACCATGGGCGCGAACATCCGACGGCCCGCCGTCCAACGGTTACTGCCCAAGCACTCATCACTCGTGCGACTGCCGATCGCCAGCGGGGGGGGGGGGGGCAACAGGGGCCCCTGCTGCTCACACGTGGGACGCGCACGGTCGTGGAGCGGCATGAGCTCTTTCGGGCGCGCCTGCACGCCTGATCCTCCGCGCCTGGTCGCGAAGACTGGGTCTGGGCGCGCGTCGTTGAGCCCGTCCTTGCGCACGATCGCGATCAGGCAGCCCCGAGCGCGAAGCATGTCAATGGGGCGCCTGAAGCGACTCGTCGGCGACGGCAAAATCTCAACGGACTTGGCGCGGCTCGGCGCGGGCACTGGGCTCGCCGCAAGTCGCGACGAGCGCGCGGGAGCGGGTGTCGATCTTCACGATATCTTCGGGCGCTTTTCTCAGAACAGTTCGACCGGGTTTCGGCCGCAACCCCCTCTTGGGCGCCATCGATGGGGACGGGTGGCGTGGCGTGATGGGCGCGTAGCATAATGGCGCGTCTTTGACGGATGACCTGGCGCACCGAAAACAGCCTGGACATGCAAATTTGCGCGACACGAAACACAACAACACGTGCACGCCCGTGCCCAGTGTGACATGCCCATCAACCATAGTTCGTCACCTCATGTTCCTCCTCCGTCCCTAAGCTTCCCCCTCGCAGTAGGAGGAGGAGGAGGAGGAGGAGGAGGAGGAGGAGGAGGAGGAGGAGGAGGAGGAGGAGGTGAAGGAGCAGGAGGAGGAGGAGGAGGAGGAGGAGGAGGAGGACCCCCCTCCATCTCATCATCGCCCTCTTCTCGACCGCGCGCCGCCGGCCTCTCAGGCCGCGGACCCCCCCGCCGGTCAGACATGGCGGGGGGGGCCCTCTAACCGAACGGTGATGCCTAAACTGTCCACGTGCATTAAACGTCCCTTCGCCGGGCCGCCCTTCGCACGTAATCGCGCTGCTGCGCAAGCTCATAGGCGGGGTCGAAAGGCGCATGAAAGACCGCCCCGTCGGGTGGCAGACCGCTGCCAGGGCCCAGGGGCTCCATCGGGGGCGCGGTCTGCAAGTGCATCTAGAAACGCAAAAGCCCAAAACCTTGAGAGCGCTGGCGGATACTCCTGAAGCCTGCGCGGCCAATACGGACGTGTTCGTCGACGCCCGTGAGGCCCCGTGCCCCCAGGACGCCCTCTGCAGGCATGGGTGGTGCATCCAGGCCGCTGGGGGGGAGATAGGAAGCGGGCGGGACTTTCACTCTCAACAGCAAATCTGCGGGCTCTGCGGAGCGGAGCGCGCCGCTTCCTCGCATGGCCCTGAAGCGGCGGGCTGCCCTCCGGGGAGGAGCAGACCCCTCGGCCCACGGCCCCGACCCCCATTCCACGCCCGGCCTCCTTGCATCTGCTGTGTCTGGTCCTCGGGGCACCCGGAACCGACCCCGACCCTGCACCCCGACAGCTCCCCGACCTCCCTCCACACTCTCATCGGACAGCTCGTGCCCTGGAGCCGGACCCGAGACCCCCCACCCCGACCAACTTCCACACCCTGGCACTTCCACGCCTCTGGTCTCTGATCTTCTGACCCCAGGTCCTCCTTCCTTCCCTGTAGATGCGAGGACTCTCTGGATCACTCCAGGCACACCTCTTTTCCTTCTGACCGTTTGACAAGGTCACCACCTCCAAGAGGTATTCCGTGACATGAGCGGTTTGCCGCTGCAGGATGTTCGTCGCCCAGAAGGCTGCTTTGAGCGCTTCCCGGGAAGAGATCTTCGGACCCCTCGCCCGACCATTCCTGGCCGGGCTCCAGCGCCCACGCCTGCAGGGGAGAGCTGTCGGCCCCGACGGGGGGTCGCACCCTGGCGCCGACGGGCGTGGCCGCCCCGCGGGCGCGCCAGGGCGGCGACGCCCAGGCCCTCCCAGGCCGCTCGCGCGGCGTGCGGGGTGCCAAGCGCCCCAGAGGAGAGCGGGCGGGGGGAGGGAGCGAAAAGCGCGCCCCGCACAAAAGGATCGCGCCCGCGTCGCGCCTTGCTTCGCAGGCGGCGCGGGGCGCCGCGCGGCGAGGCGCTGCCCCACCTGGCGCGCGCCGCGCGCAGCCCCATCTCCGAGGCGGCGATCGCGCGCGCGGGGGCCTGCGCGAGCGCGCGTCGTCGAATCCTTGGCGGCCGCACTGGAGCTCCTCCTCCTCCTCCTCCTCCTCCTCCTCCTCCTCCTCCTCCTCCTCCTTCCTCTCCCCGGGCATGCGGGCGCGGCCGGGCTTCGCGGCCGGGGCCTGGCCCGTCGGCGCGGACACAGGCGACCGACTTCGGGCGCAGCTGCGAGGGCAACGATCCGTCGCGGGCGACGGCGGCGTCGACGGCGGCGGCGACGCCGCCGACGCCTCCGCCGCCGGCAGCGCCGCCCGTCGGTGCGGAGGCGCGACCGACCCGCGCTTCGAAGCGGGCCCTGCCGTGGTGGCTGGAAGCCCCCAAGGCGGCCGGAGAAGGACGAAGAACGCCAGGGATGGTCGCCGCTTTCTCGACTGGCCCTCCTCCGACGGGCGGCGGCGGCGGCGTCGAGGGCGAGGGGAGCCCAGGGGCGCAGTGGAGCGCCTCGCAGCGCGAGCGCGTTGGCGCGGAGATGCGGCTGTAGATGTGCCCCGCGGCGCCATCCTGCCGGGCGCGCTCTCCTCCTCCTGCTCCCTCCTCCTGCTGCTTCTCCTCCTCCTACTCCTCCTCCTCCTCCTCCTCCTGCCTCTCCTCCGCCTCCTCCTCCTCCTCCTCCTCCTCCTCCTCCTCCTCCTCCTCCTCCTCCTCCTCCTCCTCCTCCTCCTCCCCGGGCAGGATACCAAATAGAAGGCATGTGCAACGTGTGCGGATCTGTGGGCGCTGCGGCTCTTCACAAGCTCTGGAATTGCTCCGCATGCGAAGGGGAACGATCGGAAGTCATTACGCCGGACATGTTGCGCCGAGCTCGCAGCTAGCTCAGACATGAAGTGAATCATGGGTTCGAGACCCTCTGCAAGACGGGCATCCTCACCACCCTGGTCTGGAGGCTCCCCTCCACCACTGCACAAGAATCGCAGGACTCTGCCGTGGTTCGTTTCCTTCCGTCAGCGCTTGCACTGGAACGGTCCTCGCGGTTGAACGGTAGCCCTGCAGCGCTTCAAGAGGACACCAAGATGGCCAAGAGAGGCCCCCCAAAAGGAGGTGCACTTTGGGAGCCAGTTTCGGTGGGCGGCCGGGCTCCCGGGTTCCAAGGGGTCGGGAGTTGCTGCCACTGTAAATAGAAAGAGATGGTGCAGTATATAACAGAAGGCGAAGAGCACACATCAGATAGTAGAGATCCGCCGGCCCCCTTGCGGGGCCATCAGGCTGCGAGGGCTAGGCCTGCGGCTCCCTGCACCAGTTCCAGCTTCCAGTTTCCATTGTTGCAGTGCTGCTTTCTGCTTCCTACTGTAAATTGTTGCTGTCCGCGCAAAGGGGGGGGAGCCGAAAACTGCCCTGGTTAGCACCCCCTGGGAAGGTTCTCAGAATTCCTGGAGGGGTAAAAATTGGCACCCCTCACGCAGATCGGCGGGGTCAGGGTCCAAAAACACACAAAAAAAAAAAACGCGACATTTCTGAAATTCGGTGGCACCCCTCAAGCAGATCGGCGGGTCAGGGTCCAAAAACACTTGGGATTTGCCACATTTCTGAAATTCGGTGGCACTCATCACGCAAATCGGCGGGGTCAGGGTCCAAAAACAAAAAGGATTTGCCACATGTCTGAAATTCGGTGGCACTCCTCATGCAGATCGGCTGGGTCAGGGTCCAAAAACACTTGGGATTTGCCACATTTCTAAAATTATGTGGCACCCGTCACGCAGATCGGCGGGGTCAGGGTCAAAAAAATACAAAAAGGATTTGCCGCATGGTTTAAATCCGGTGACACCCCTCAAGCAGATCGGCGGGTCAGGGTCCAAAAACACGTGGGATTTGCCACATTTCTGAAATTTCCTGACACCCCTCATGCAGATCGGCGGGGTCTGGGTCCAAAAACATTTGGAATTTGCCACATGTTTGAAATTCGGTGGCACCCCTGATGCAGATCGGCGGGGTCAGGGTCGGTCTGGGGTACCAGAACGCACAGAAAGCCCCAGGAGGCCTCGGGAGGTTCCAGGAGGACCCCAGGAGGCTCCGAGGCGGGGTCTGAGGTACCAGAAGGTACGTCGGGGCTCGATTTTGGAAGGATGTCTCAGGCGAAATCGCCATTCTCTGAGAATCGGGGCCGAAATCATTGAAATTACTATGTGTTTTTGAAGGTTCCATGCTAGAATGTTGAAATCCCCATGTGTTTCTGGACCCTGACGTCACGATCTGCGTGAGGGGTGCCACCGATTTTCAGAATTTAGAGGATGTCCCGAGCGAGACGGCCAGAAAAATCGCGGACGCGAACGCACGAATCGCCTCTGAGCTCTACTCCTTCGGAGAGGTGCGTATGCGAATATTTATATATATATATATGTATATATGTATGTTTGTATGTATGTATGTATGTATGTATGTATGTATGCATGTATGTACGTACGTACGTACGTACGTACGTATGTATATATATACAAGTGTATATATATATATATGAATATATACATATAAAATATAGCGCAGCCCCCCCCCCCCCCAGCATCCACTGATTTTCATCGCGGTTCGCGCTGATCGCACTCGCATTTTCTTTACTGCCAGATTCGGTTCTCGCCCTGAGACGGCGGCATCGAATAATGAACGTCATCTGGAGAGCCAACCACTTGATCCTGCATCTCCTTCCCCTCTTTCACCTCGTCCATCCTCCTCCTCCTCCTCCTCCTCCTCCTCCTCCTCCTCCTCCTCCTCAACCTCAGAAGATGCAAGCGTCCGCTTCCCCCGCCTTTGGGAGAACAGGTATAAGATATCAGCGGCAGCGCTAACAAGAACGATAAGCGAACCATATGATTTCTCAGGCATTCCAGGGATGCACAGGGATGCTAAGTGACGATCGCTGTGCAGGCTCAGGGATCCCAGGGATTCCAGGGATGCGAAGTCACGATCCCTGAGCAGGCTCAGGGACCCCAGGGCTTCCAGGGATGCGAAGTCACGATCCCTGTGCAGGCTCAGGGATCCCAGGGATCCCAGGGATTCCTAACCCTCCAGCAAAACCGACCTGGGGATCCACCAGCGATCCCGCGCTCAGAATCCCTGGGATCCCTGAGCCTGCTCAGGGATCGCGACGTCGGTTGTCAGCAAACCATATGATTTCTCAGGGATCCCAGGGATTCCAAGGATGGCAAGTCACGATCCCTCTCAGGGCAGGGATTCCAGGTCACGATCCCTCCCAGGGATTCCAGGGATGCGAAGTCACGATCCCTGTGCAGGCTCAGGGATCCCAGGGATCCCAGGGATTCCTAATCCTCCAGCAAAACCGACCTGGGGATCCACCAGCGATCCCGCGCTCAGAATCCCTGGGATCCCTGAGCCTGCTCAGGGATCGCGACGTCGGTGGTCAGCAAACCATATGATGTCTCAGGGATCCCAGGGATTCCAGGGATGCCAAGTCACGATCCCTGAGCAGGCTCAGGGATCCCAGGGATTCCAGGGATGCGACGTCACCATCCCTGTGCAGGCTCAGGGATCCCAGGGATCCCAGGGATTCCTGACCCTCCAGCAAAATCGGCCTGGCGACTTCGCAAAGATTTGGGGGGTTGGGAATCCCTGGGATCCCTGGGATCCCTGAGCCTGCACAGGGATCGTGACTTCGCATCCCTGGAATCCCTGGGATCCCTGAGCCTGCTCAGGGATCGTGACTTCGCATCCCTGGAATCCCTGGGATCCCTGAGAAATCATATGGTTTGCTGACAACCGACGTCGCGATCCCTGTGCGGGCTCAGGGACCCCAGGGATTCTGAGCGCGGGATCGCTGGTGGATCCCCAGGTCGGTTTTGCTGGAGGGTTAGGAATCCCTGGGGATCCCTGAGCCTGCACAGGGATCGTGACTTCGCATCCCTGGAATCCCTGGGATCCCTGAGCCTGCTCAGGGATCGTGACTTGGCATCCCTGGAATCCCTGGGATCCCTGAGACATCATATGGTTTGCTGACCACCGACGTCGCGATCCCTGAGCAGGCTCAGGGATCCCAGGGATTCTGAGCGCGGGATCGCTGGTGGATCCCCAGGTCGGTTTTGCTGGAGGATTAGGAATCCCTGGGATCCCTGGGATCCCTGAGCCTGCACAGGGATCGTGACTTCGCATCCCTGGAATCCCTGGGATCCCTGAGCCTGCTCAGGGATCGTGACTTGCCATCCTTGGAATCCGTGGGATCCCTGAGAAATCATATGGTTTGCTGACAACCGACGTCGCGATCCCTGAGCAGGCTCAGGGATCCCAGGGATTCTGAGCGCGGGATCGCTGGTGGATCCCCAGGTCGGTTTTGCTGGAGGGTTAGGAATCCCTGGGATCCCTGAGCCTGCACAGGGATCGTGACTTCGCATCCCTGGAATCCCTGGGGTCCCTGAGCCTGCTCAGGGATCGTGACTTCGCATCCCTGGAATCCCTGGGATCCCTGTGCATCCCTGGAATCGTCACTTAGCATCCCTGTGTATCCCTGGAATCGCTCAGGGATCGTCACTTAGCATCCCTGTGCATCCCTGGAATGCCTGAGAAATCATATGGTTCGCTTATCGTTCTTGTTAGCGCTGCCGCTGATATCTTATACCTGTTCTCCCAAAGGCGAGGGAAGCGGACGCTTGCATCTTCTGAGGTTGCGTTAGAAAAAAAACATTCCGCTTGCAACACGTGACTCGGGAAGAGGAACGGAAAGGAGCAGGGATGATGAGAAGAGGGTGCGTCTCCAGCTTCGTGGAAGAGGGAGAAGGCGTAGAGTGGGTGCTGGGGGGGGCTGTCCATATAGATATATATATATGTATATATATATATACACATGTGTATGAGAACTCCATAGGAGGATTTCAGCGGGTGAAATTATCGAGCTCCTTCCTGGTCACATCCCACGCCAAATGAGCAGAGGATGTCACTCCTTCTGTGCTGCGCGCAGGGGGAGGAAGGCGTCGCCTGCCTTCCGCACCGCTCGGAGGCGGGCACGCTGACTCTCGCCTGCCGACGTTGTGCAGCTGGCGTTCCGATGCACGCTCATCAATCGCTCGCTGCCTGACGGTCACCAGAAGCTCAGAAACGGCGCTCGCTCCGGAGAGAACGGCACAGGGAGCCAGACAGTGGGAGAATGCCAGGCGTGGAATGCCAGCGGCGAAAACGTCCAGAAATCCACTGGATGGGGTTGTTTCTGGTCTTCAGATGCCGTCAGAGGGGGAGAGATGGGGTAACACCTTCCTGGGTGCACCAAGGGGAGGGGGGGGAAGGGTAGGAGGGATGAGGAAGGAGGAGTCCGAGGGTTTCGAAGAATGTCACAGGCGGTTCTGGGCGGTCACGAGAGGGTCCTCGACGGGGAAGACGAGAGGAGGAAGGGGAGGGGAAAACTGCAGAGGAGGCAGGAGGAACATGAACACGGGAGCGGGCGAAGGGGAAGAAGGGGCAGCAGGATGGGCCTGAGGAGCAGCAGAAGGCAAGGGGATGCGGGGGCCAGGAAGACGACGAAGAGGAGGAGGAGGAGGAGGAGGAGGAGGAGGACGACGAGGACGAAGAGGAGGAGGAGGAGGAGGACGAGGAGGAGGAGGAGGAGGCAGGCGCGAAGACGGACTGGGAGGTGGGAGGACTATAGGAGGAGGTCGACGACGACGACGACGACGACGACGACGACGACGACGACGAGCAGGACTGACACTGCCGCGGACGGGGGTCAGGCCGCCACGGGCGCCCAGGCGGCCTCTCACGGGAGCAGCACGGGCTCGAGGTCCCCGAACGTCTGCTCGTGCTCGACGCCCCCGAAGCGGTAGCGCACCCGGAGGACAGGGTCCGCGCCCTCGCCGCACGGGCGGTGGAAGCCCAGCAGGGTCGACTTGGAGACCTTCCCGCTGGAGGTTTCCTCATCATGACAGGACCCGGTCCCGAACCCCGGGGGCCAGCTTTAGGGATCGCCAGCGGCACGCGAGCTGCCCGAGCTGTCGCGGGGCGCCTTCACACCTCGTGGGAAGTATCCGGGCGCCTGCTGTTGAAGGGCGTGGCCGGGAAAGTCTGGTTTCACAAGGGCGAAATCCATGATTTGACGCTCTGGCCGAGGGGCTCTACCAGCTTTACGCCCTAAGTCGCTGTTTGGCGGTCCTGCGGCCCCGAGGGAGCCCCGGGGACCCGAAAACTGCCCAAACCATGCGGGCTCGGTTCTCTCCAGGGTCCCTTTCCTACATTGGCGGCGCTCGGAAGTGGGCCCAGACCCTCTCGCGCCGTGAACAGATCATGGCCAGAGCCCAGCCCCCCCGAGCAGCACTTTCTGAGCCAAGGTGGCTCCTCAGGGTGTTCGCGCGTCCTCCTGCTCCTGGTCCGCATGCGCCTTCGGCGTCGTCGCCGAGCTTTTCGTCATCGTCGTCGTTGTCGTCCTCCTCCTCCTCCTCCGCCTCCTCCTCCGCATCCGCGTCATTATTCTTCTCGCCCTCGCCCTCCCCACTTCCACTACACCTCCTCCTTATCATCCCCCCCTCTCTCTCCTTTTCCCGCTCCTCCTCCTCCTCATCATCATCATCATCATCCTCCTACTCCTCCTCTCCTCCTCCTCCTCCTCCTCCTCCTCCTCCTCCTCCTCCTCCTCCTCCTCCTCCTCCTCCCCCTCCTCTTCGCCGTGCTCCTCAGCCTCGTCATCATCATCCTCATCCTGATCCTCCGGGTCCTCCTCTCCTCCCTCCTCCTCCTCCGCCTCCTCCTCCTCCTCCGCCTCCTCCTCCTCCTGCTCATCCTCCTCCTTCTATACTTCCTCATCTCACTCCTCCTTCGTCCCCCTCCTCATACGAATCCTCTTCATCCTCCATTTTCCTGGTGCTAATCCTCCTCGACATCTCCCTCCTCATCCCGATCCTCCTCCTCATCATCCTCTACCTCCTCATCGCACTCCTGCTTTCCCTGTTTGTCCTCCTGCTCCTCCTCCTACTCCTCCTCCTCCTCCTCCTCCTCCTCCTCCTCCTCCTCCTCCTCCTCCTCCTCCTCTCCGTGCTACTCGAATTCCTGGTACTACTCCTCGTGTTCCGCGTCCTCCTCCTCCTCCTCTTCGCGGCGATCCTCTTCCTCCTCCTGCTCGCGCTCCTCCTCATCCTCCTCCGCCTCCTGATCGCAATGCTCCTTCTCATACCTCCTCCTCCTCCTCCTCCTCCTCCTCCTCCTCCTCCTCCTCCTCCTCCTCCTCCATCCTGCCTCCTCCCTGTTCACCGCGCTCTCGCTCGAGGCATCCCCACGATCCGCTCAAGCATGGCATTCTCCACGGTGGCCTCGCGGGGTGTGCCGAGGAATCTCGCTCGCGCGCCAGAGTCAGCCACCCACTCCGTCGAGCCAGGGGCGCCAGGACCTCACCCAAAGTACACTTCGACAAGAGAAGAGCAATCAAATGGTTCGTTTGGGTCTGACCCCTCCTCCCTCCTCCCTCCTCCCTCTCGAAGCCAAAAGCTTCAAGTATGTCTCAAGCGAAGCGCGCTGGACCACCTCGCGCGCAGCATCTCGGAGCGCAGAATTGCGAGGATTTCTCAGGCGAAACGCGCCAGACCACCTCGCGCGCGGCGGCTTGGCGCCCAGAGTCGGCAGGGTGTCTCAAGCGAAACGGACTGGACCACCTTTCGCGCGGCGTCTCGGAGCCCAGAGTTGCGAGGATGACTCAGGCGAAACGGCCCAGACCGCCTCCAGCGCGGCATCACGAAGATCAAAGTTGCGAGGATGTCTCAGGCGAAGGCCGCCAGACCACTTGGCGCGTGGCGTCTAGGAGCCCAGACGTGAGGATGTCTGCGGCGAAACGGGCCGGACCACCTCGCCTAAAGCATCTCGCAGCCCAGAACTGCGACGATGTCTCAGGCGAAACGGATTGGACCACCTCGCGCACGACATCTGGGAGCTAAGAGTTGCGAGGATGGACCCAGGCGGCGCCCAGACCCCTCTCACAGCACAGTTCGACAACAGAAGTGTGATCAAATGGTCCGTTTGGGTCTGACCCCTCCTCCCTCCTACCTCCTCCCTCTCGGAGCCCAGAGTTTCGACTATGTCTCAGGCGAAGCGCGCTGGACCACCTCGTGCGCAGCATCTCGGAGCCCAGAATTGCCAGGTTTTCTCAGGCGAAACGCGCCGGACCACCTTGCGCGCAGCATCTCGGAGCCCAGAATTGCTTGGATTTCTCAGGCGAAACGCGCCAGACCACCTCGCGAGCAGCATCTCGGAGCCCAGAGTTGCGAGGATTTCTCAGGCGAAACCCGCCGGACCACCTCGCGCGCGCGGCGTCTTGGCGCCCAAAGTTGCAAGGATGTCTGCGACAAAACTGCCCGGAGAACCTCGCGAGCGGCGTCTTGGCGCCCAGAGTTGCGAGGATGCCTGCGACAGAACGGGCCGGAGAGCCTCGCGAGCGGCGCCTGGGCGCCCAGAGTTGCGAGGATGTCCCCAGCGAGACGCGGCGGACAGACCACCTCTCCCGTGGCACGCGAGGGTGCACCAGGCGACGCCCAGACCCTTCCCGGAGCACACTTCGACAACAGAAGTGGAATCCAATGGTTCGTTTGGGTCTGACCCCTTCTCCCTTCCTGCCTCTGGGAGCCCAGAGGTTCGAGGATGCCACGAGCGAAACGACCCAGAGTCGCGAGGATGCCACTTCGAGGATGCCACTTCGAGGATGCCACTTCGAGGATGCCACTTCGAGGATGCCACATGGTCAAAGCCCAGAGTCGCGAGGATGCCTCAGGCGAAGCAACCTGGGACCACCTCGCGGACAACTTTTCAAAGCCCAGAGATGACGAAACGGACCCGACCGCTTCTCGCGCGGCATTTCGGCGCACCTCAGGCGAAACGCGCCCGCCTTCCTCGCGCGCGGCATCTTGGCGCCCAGAGTTTCGAGGTTGTCTCAAGCGAAACGGGCAGGACCAGCCCGCGCGCGGCGGCAGCTCGGGGTACAGAAGTGTGAGGATGCATCGGAGCTCAGAGTTGCGAGGATGTCTCCGCGGCATCTTGGAGCCCAGAATTGCGAGGACGTCTCAGGCGAAACGGACTGGACCACCTCGCGCGCGGCATCTCAAATATCAGAACTGCACGGATGTCTCAGGCGAAACGGGCTGGACCACCCCGCGCACGGTATCCCAAAGCAAACAATTTCAAGGATGTCTCAAGCGAAGCGCGCAGGACCACCTCGCGCGCAGCATCTCGGAGCCCAGAGTTGCGAGGCTGCCTCAGGCAAATCGCTCTGGACCACCTCGCGCGCAGCATCTCGGAGCCCAGAGTTGCGAGGCTGCCTCAGGGGAAACGCGCCAGACCACCTTTCGCACAACATCTCGGAGCTCAGCGTTGCGAGGATGTCTGAAGCAAAAGGCGCGGGTCCACCTCTCGCGCAATATCTCGGTGCCCAGAGCTGCGAGGACGTATCTGGCAAAAACCGCTAGACCACCTCGCGCGCGGCGGAAGGAGGAGGAGGAGGAGGAGGAGGAGGAGAAGGAGGAGGAGGAGGAGGAGGCAGGAGGAATGAGGAAGGAGGAAGGAGGATTCAGGAAGGAGGAAGGAGGAAAAATTATCCTAGCGAAGGGCCCAACCATATGCAAGTGCGAGTGCCGCCGGGCAGGCAGGACGCAGCAGGGGAAATTCCCGATGGGGCCACGAAACGTGTGAGGGGTGTGCCAAAGTGGGGCGGCGCCGCCATGCGAACTGCGCCACTGGGACCGTAGGTTGAGCTCCCCGTGGGGCCACGAAACGTGTGAGGGGTGTGCCAAAGTGGGGCGGCGCCACCATGCGAACTGCGCCACTGGGACCGTAGATTGAACTCCCTGTGGGGCCACGAAACGTGTGAGGGGTGTGCCAAAGTCGGGCGGCGCCGCCATGCGAACTGCGCCACTGGGACCGTAGGTTGAGCTCCCTGTGGGGCCACGCAACGTGTGAGGGGTGTGCCAAAGTGGGGCGGCGCCGCCATGCGAACTGCGCCACTGGGACCGTAGGTTGAGCTCCCTGTGGGGCCACGAAACGTGTGAGGGGTGTGCCAAAGTGGGGTGTGAGGGGTGTGCCAAAGTGGGGCGGCGCCGCCATGAACTGCGCCACTGGGACCACTGGGCCACGAAACGTGTGAGTGGGGCGGCGCCGCCATGCGAACCACTGTGGGGCCACGAAACGTGTGAGGGGTGTGCCAAAGTGGGGCGGCGCCGCCATGCGAACTGCGCCACTGGGACCGTAGGTTGAGCTCCCTGTGGGGCCACGAAACGTGTGAGGGGTGTGCCAAAGTGGGGCGGCGCCGCCATGCGAACTGCGCCACTGGGACCGTAGGTTGAGCTCCCTGTGGGGCCACGAAACGTGTGAGGGGTGTGTCATGATGATGACGATGGGAGGGGGGAGGAAGGAGGGGGAGGAGGAGGAGAGGAGGAGGGACGCGGGCCACCGTCTCTTCAAAACGAGGACCCAACACCACAGGATGGTTGGGAATAAAGAAGGAAGAGGAGGAGGAGGAGGAGGAGGAGGAGGAGGAGGAGGAGGAGGAGGAGAAGGAGGAGAGCGGAGGAGGGGGAGGAGGAGGAGGAGGAGGAGGAGGAGGAGGAGGAGGAGGAGGAGGAGGAGGAGGAGGAGGAGGAGGAGGAGGAGGAGGCACTGGGGGCTGTGAATCGCCAGTGCTCCGCTCCGGGGGGGGAGGGCGTCTTGGTAGGGGGCGGCTTCTCAGGAGGCCCGCGCCCGCTAAGAAGCAGCCTCGCTCTACGAAGCCTTCCCCCTCGCCCCGTGCCCCCCCTCCGCGCGCGGCCGATCGTTCTCCTCCTCGCGCGAGCTCGGCATGCGCAGGTTTCGTAGGGGAAGGGCCCGCACCTCGGGACGAAGAACTGGCCCCGGGGGAAGCCGCGCGCGCCGCCGCGCTGGTCCCGGGCAGGCTGTGCTGTCTGGCGGAGGGGGAGAGCGAGGGGTCGAGCAGGCAGACGACGACGAACGCGCAGCGAAGCCAGGGCCGGCGTGGCGCAGATTCCTGGCAGCTCTGGCCGCCCGCCGGTGCCCAATCCAGGAGGGCAGAAGCAGGCAGGCGACGACTGACGCGCATACGCGAGGCCAGGGCCGGCGGGGCGCAGGTTCCTGGCAGCTCTGGGCGCCCGATCCGAACTGCAGTGCCTCCACCGCGGCTGCGACCGCGCTGCGCGGCCGCCACCGCCGCTGCAAAAGAAGACGCTGGCTTCTCCGACCGCAAGCCTGTCTGGACCACCTCGGGTGCACAAGATGTCCTCAGTATCCACCAAGGGCGCGGCTGTGAGCACGACAGTCCCGAGGGCCCCGTGTGGACCAATCGCGGCGCCGGAGGCCTGGGGAGGAGGAGAGGGCGGGCCGGTGTTGCTGCTCGGTGCCTGGAGCGCCGACGCATTCGTTCGTGCTGCGCTTGTGTGGCTCTGGCCGCGACTGCTCCTGTTCTGCGGAGATGCGCGTGCCTAGAAGGGAAAGGAGGGAAGGGCGAACTGCATCTCCCCACGCATCGCTGATAATTGATGCAGAGGCTTCCGTGTGGAGAGGGGGACGGAGGGAAGGAAGAGCAGCTCTCTGTCTCTCTCTCTCTCTCTCTCTTGCCATAGAACGGACATTCGTTCCCCATACTCTTTCGGCTTCGTGTGTCCTTTCCCCGCAAAAGGATCCAAAATACGACTCGATGGCCCGCGCCCAGAGAAGTGCACACGTCCGAGACCGTCGGAGCGAAGCCAAGTCAGCCTCTCTGCGCGCAACTGACACTGCACGCTCCCGGGCCCCGACCTCGCTGATGTGCAGCTGCGAGCGCCGGACCTTCGCCATGAGGCAGTCCGTCACGTCGATGGCGCGCCCGCTCGGCAGCTCCAGCCCCGCGAGCCCCGGGTCGCCGTACCTGGGGAAACCGACAAGTACCGCTGCCACTGCTCCCCGGACCTCTACTGGGGCTCTTTGTGCCCAGAATCTCGAGGCGAATCCAGCCGTGGCTACGAGGGCTGCCCAGGAGGCCCGAAAGGGCAACGAGGGAGCGGTGATCGGCCACATCGATACCATACTGATCGGCTACACGCCAGAGTGGCCCTAGGCAAGAGTGAGCTTCCGCCATTGGCGTAAAGAACGCCCACCAGGCTTAAAAGTCTTCGCAGATTTGTGTAGGACCCCCGTGCCCCCCGATTTGAATTTTGGAAACGGCGCTGCCTTGGCGGTACAGACCTGGGCGTTTCCTTTTGTGCCGATGCTTGCACCCCGACAGTGGCCGCGAACGCAACATTGAAATGGGGGGCCCGGGGGCGGGCCCTTTGAAAATCGACGTTTTTCACTCCAACAGCGGTTTGGTGCGCGGTTTTCGGGAGCTGGTGCTGTCAAAAGCGCATGCTGGTGCTGTGGGGACCCCAGTGGACCCGCACCCAATGTCACTCCGGCGAAAGGTCACTTATACACGTGGCCGAGAGGAGGCCCAGAAAGGCGAGAACGAAGGAAGGGTAGCGGTGTGAGTACCTTGCCATCGCTAGGACCTCCATTCCCCATGCATGTTTCGGCTTCGTGCGCCTGCACTGTCGCAAGGATGTTCCAGGCTGCTCGTCCAGGGTCCTCGCCGAACGTCCAAGCGATGCCAAGGTTGATGGGCCTGTTTTCCACCACCACCACCACCACCACCACCATGAGTTGGAGGGGGGAAGGCGGTGGAGGAGGAGGAGGAGGAGGAGGAGGAGGAGGAGGAGGATGAAGAGGAGGAGGAGGAGGAGGAGGAGGAGGAGGAGGAGGAGGAGGAGAACCCCCCTCCCCCATCCCACTCGTGGTGGTGGTGGTGGAAAGCAGGCCCATCAGAGGCACCGCCTCCTCCTCGGAGCACCAGCCGGCGAGTATCTCCAGGCCCTTGCAGGCAGCCTCCTCGGCCCTTCGCCGCGCCGCCTCCGGCGCCACCAGCAGGCGCTGCCCCGCGGCTGAGGCCGCCGAGGCCTCGCCCCCGGCGGCGGCGGCGGCGGGCCCGGCCGCCGCGGCCGCGGGCGCGGCTGGTCGCCCCTCGCCTCGCGGAAGCGATCTGCGCGATCCGAAAGCCGCGATCGCCACAGACAGCCGGCGGTGTGACTCGTTGTGCCATCCACGGCCCCAGGAGGTCGCGGCCACTGCCCCAGAGGCACTGCTTCCGCCCCGGATGCACTTCCGATGGCGCAAGGGCTGCACCACGCCTGGATCGAACAAGAGAACGATGCCCAATGGAGAGAAATCCGATCCCCCAAAGTCACCAGACCACCCGGACGAGCCCTCCGAGATGCACACCAGAAGCGCCCTGGCACGCGACCGTGGCTGGCGCTCGAGCGGCAGCACGATACCCACTCACGGACCCAGAGATCCGACGTCGTGATTTTTTCCATACGGGGCCCCCGGAGCTCTCGACCCGTTCCCCCGGGACCGGTTTTTCATCCTGAGTCGTTTTTTGACGGTCCCGGGGCCCGGCGAGGGCCCCTTGAGGCTGGGGATGTGGCTGGCGCCGAGGCGAGAGCACCGCGCCTGAGCTGAGCGAGCCGTGCGGCGTCCGCCGGCGGCGAGCCCTTAAGGGCGCCGGCCTGCGAGGGGGCGGGCCCTGCTCCGAGAAGGCGCCGGGGCCTCGCAGGAGCTCGGGCCTCCCGCGGAGCCTCCTCCTCCTCCTCCTCCTCCTCCTCCTCCTCCTTCTCCTCCTCCACCTCCTCCTCCTCCTCCTCCTCCTCCTCCTCCCCCTCGTCCCCCCGTCCTCCTCCTCCTCCTCCTCCTCCTCCTCCTCGTCCCCGTCTCCGCCCTGGGAGGAGGCTCGGAACTCTTCGTGGCGATTGCTGCGCGAGCGGCAGTCCCCCAAGGAGCCGAGGAGAAATCAGTCGGGAAGCGCGCAGGTCGCCGCTCCGCAAGAAGCCTCCCGGGAGCCAGCGGAAGCGGCGACAGCTGCGCAAGCGGCAGCCCCCGAAGAAGTCGCGAGGTCTGGTCTGGATGCGCGCATCGTGTCGCCATTCCGCTGGACCTCCCAAGCGCTCACGACAGGGAGCGATACATGCGCAGCTGGCCCCCCTGGGGAGCCGCGAGGCCTACCCTGCATCGGCGTAAGACGTCACTCCGCTGGGCCACCGAATCTCACATAGCCGTCCCGCAGCATTGGAGACAAGCAAGAAGAATAGCCATAAACGGGCGTCGGTGCCCCGCCGCGACTTCTCCCCGCGCTCAAGAGCTGCCCAGAGCGCCCAGCGAAAAACGTGGCGACAGCTGCGCCGTTGGCAGCCATGCGAGGCAAGTCGACGCACGAGGGACAAAGTCCCCTTCGGTGGAGCCCCCTTCTGGTGCCACGGGGCCTGCGAGGGGTCCGCCACAGTGGTGGGGCGGGCGCATGCGGGCACGACGCGCGTGACGGGTCTGCCAAATCCGTAGGGCGGGCGCGCGACGGCGCTGGAGCTCCCCATGGCGCATGCGGGCGCTGCCACTGGGGCCTTCGGTGGATTCCCTTTTTGATAATGTTGTTGATGATAGCAATGATGAGGATGATGATGATGATGATGATGATGATGATGATGATGATGATGATGATGATGATGATGATGATGATGATGATGATGATGATGATGATGATGAAAGTGACAGTGACAAAACTGATAATTATGATGATGCTACTAATGCTATGCGAATGTGTAGAATAGTACAAGTAATATTGAGAATATTCGCACCGATATCGATACTGCGAAAGTTGACAATCCTATGACTGAGGATGATCATACGATTCATATTAATAGTAATAATAACGGTAACAATGCTAATCATAACACTAATAAAGAAGCAATGCTGGTACTAGCAATAAGACATAATAGCAGCAATAGAAATGGTACTACTATCAATATTATTATACCAGGAATGCAAAGATAAATCATGATAGCAGCACGAATCATAGTCAGAAGACGGATGATGATGGTGATGATGGTGGTGGTGATGGTGATGGTGATGATGCTGATTATGATGATGATTACCAATATTATTCTTGGTATTATTTATCACCGTATAATTACTAATACTAATACTAATCGTGTGACTATATTTTATTATTCTGATTACTAATACGATGACAACGATGATGACGAAGCTGATGCTGATGATGCTAGCTGATGCCGATGCTGATGCTGATGCTGCTGCTAATGATGACGATGATAATGATGATGCTGCTGGGATGATGATGATGATGACGATGATGCTGCTGCTGCTGCTGATGATGATCATGGTGGTGATGACGATGATTCTGACGATGATGACGGTGATGATTGATGAGGATTACGATGGATTACGACGATGCGGACACGCGGGGAGCAGGAGGGAGGAACGGGAGGAGAGAGGAAGAAAGGCAGGATGAGCGGGGCACAGCTGATTCAAAATGAGGACCCAACAACCCGGGATGGTTAGGGGGAAGTCGGGCGTGTCCCCTACAGGGGTATTTTCGACGAAAAATACAAGATACTCCAAAAATAAGAAAAACAAATCTGGGGACTATTTCTTGAATATGTATTGACCTTTTTGGGGTATGTTTGGGGGTATTTGTTATTTTTCGTCGAAATCCCCCTGTAGGGGGACACGCCCGACTTAAGGTTAGGGGGAAGATCAGTTCACAACAGCTCCCGAGATGGCCCACTCCCGAGTCGTGTGCTGCTCCCAGCAGCACCCGACTCGGGACGCGCTCGCTTCGTGGCGCTCCCCGGAGCGCCCCCCCGCACGTCTTCGCGTAGGAGATCGCCTACGGAACTGCTGCACCCCGAGATTGAAAGATTCGTCGGGTCTGCGGACAATACGTGGAATGCTTCGTAGAACTGCGCAGGTTCTGCGCACTTGTTCGCAGATTCGGCGAGCATTCAGATCATGGTCGGCGGCGCGCAGGGGAGGGTAGAGGGAGGGTGGAAGGCTCTTTAGAAAGAGGCTGCCTCTTCGAAGGCGCCGGCCGTCGATCTACGGACCAGGCCCGCGCCTTCTACGAAGCAGGGGTGCCTCTGAGCAACCTTGCCCCCTCCCCATTCCCCCACTGCGCGTGACTGATGTGGGGTAGTAGAGGCCTCCTAGGTGGGGTCGGAGTGGATGGGGTCGGAGGATCGCGCCGCATCGCCGATACATCGGCAATGCATCGGCGATGTATCGACGATGCACCGGCGACACATCGTCGACGACGGCGGTGCATCGGCGACGTCGACGTGAAGAACGTCGGGCTCCACCTCGAGCCGCATCGGCAATGCATCAGCGGTGCCGAGCGATCATTCGACCCCACATACTCGGACCACATTTGGGAGGCCTGGAATGGGGTAGATCGATTCTGCAGTCGATCTCCCGCTCGACCTCCGGCCTCGAGGAGGAGGAGGAGGAGGAGGAGGAGGAGGAGGAGGAGGAGGGAGAAGAAGGGGGAGGAGGAGGAGGAGGAGGAGGAGGAGGAGGAGGGAGAGGAGGAGGAGGGAGGAGGAGGAGGAGGAGGAGGAGGAGGAGGAGGAGGAGGAGGGAGGAGGAGGAGGAGGAGGAGGAGGAGGAGGAGGAGGAGGGAGGAGGGAGGAGGAGGAGGGGGGAGGAGGAGGAGGAGCAGGAGGAGAGAGGAGGAGGAGGAGGAGGAGGAGGAGGAGAGGAGGAGGAGGAGGAGAGGAGGAGCAGGAGGAGGGAGGAGGAGGGAGGAGGAGGAGGAGGAGGAGGAGGAGGAGAGGAGAGAGGGGGAGGAGGAGGAGATGGAGGAGGGAGCTCGTCCGGCCTCTGGCTCTGCCCAGCGCGCCGCGGGCCGCGTCCCCGAGCGCGGCCGCGGCCCGCACGCAGAGAGGGGGCAGCGCCCACAGCGCCAGCGCCAGGCCGAGCTCGGGCAGCGGCACGGGCCCCAGGGCCTCCGGCCAGAGCTCCTCGGGCGGCGCGCGCCGGGGGGGGGGGGGGGGGGGGGGGGGGGGGGGGGGGGGGGGGGAGGAGGAGGAGGAGGAGGAGGAGGAGGAGGAGGAGGAGGAGGAGGAGGAGGAGGAGGAGGAGGAGGAAGAGGGAGAAGAAGGGGGAGGAGGAGGAGGAGACATTCCCTGGACATTCCCCTGACGACAAAGTCGAGAGTCGCCGCGCCGCCGCCCGCCAACCTCAGGGCGTCTTCGAGGCGGCGGCGACGGCGTCGGCGGCCCGCGGGCGGCCTGGCCCCGCGCCTGGGGGCGCGTCGGGCCGCGCCTGCGGCGCCCGCTGTGCTCGCCCGCAGCAGGGCCCTCCTCCTCCAGCGGGCGATGCGTGTCTCCCGCACAGCGGCCCCTGGGCCAGCCGCTCTCCTGCGGGCGCTCCTGGCGGGGCTGGCCTCCGCGCGGGTCTCCGCGCTCCCGCTGGCGGCTGGGGCGGCGGTGTGGGGCCCGCCAGGAGCTGCCTCAGCGTCGCCAGCGGCAGCACCTTGGTCTTGTGCGGGCTGCATCTCCTGGCCGTCGTGGCTGGTGGACTGGACCTCGCTCTCTCCCTGGCGGCCTCCAGCGCCCTCCTGGCTTCTTCGCTTCTCCTCTGGCTGTCGTCTGGCTCGACCTGCTTGGGCTTCAGGATTATCTCCTTCGGCTGGCACTGCCTAGTCCGTACTCTCGGCGCAGCCGCCACCTCCAGCAGCCGCGTCGCCCTCGCCTCTGTCTCCTGCTCGCTCATCTTGGGCTTGGGCGGCCTCGGCGGGGAGCGAGCGGCGGCAGCTGCAGCCTCCTGGCTCCTGGCAGCACGCCGCCCTGCTTCACTCCGCCTCTGGAGGGGCCTGCCGTGCCTATCCAGCGCGTCCGCCTGCTCCAGCGCGCGTCTCCCAGCGCGGGGCTCACCCCTCCCATTATCCCTCTTGGAGGGGCCTCTGGGCACTCCTGGTCCCAAGGGTGGGAGGGGGTCAGCGTGCGGGGGAGACAGGTCGCTGTCGAGCACCGCGGCGTGGTCGCCATTCTCGATCACTCCAGCAGCCGCCTCTCGGATTCTCCTCAGGTCCTCCTCGATGCTGCTGTCCTCTGGCTCGGGCGAGGTCCCCCGGCTATGCCGCTCGCTGTGGTCGCGGTTCACGTGGCATCCGCGGGCCAAGCCCTCCCCCTCGCGTTCAGTCTGTCGGTTTCCGAGGGTGCGGGTCCGCTCTGTTAGTTGCGAGGTCCTGTCTACCACAATGTTGGTCACGAAGTCCGCGTCATGCTCTCTGGGCTCGTCAGGGACCTCCGCCTCGAAGCCTTCTGTTGTTTGCGGCAGCTGCTCCTCTTCGATGTGATCTTCACGATCTGCGAAGGGGTCCTCGACCGCATCAGACCATCCCGGTGTCTCTCGCATCTCGTCTTGCTTGTCCTCTGGCCACATCCTCCACTCCTCTGCGTCTGCAAGCTTGGTCCAGCTCTTCAGCAGGTACCTCCTCGACTCGCAGGTGGGGCGGAGGCGGCAGGGTGCCTGCAGCTTGTCCGAGACCATCTCCGTGGCGGAGCTCGCACAGAGCGTGCAGAACCAGCGCCACTGGCGGCCCAGCCATCGCAGGGGGTGCGATGGGTGCGAGGTGTGGCCATTGAACTCTATGCACCTGCCTGCCGCTGGGGGCGGGCCTCCGCACTTCTGCTCGAACCACTATTTGATGCTGTATAGGGCCGTCGCCGGCGTGGCCGACTGGTTGCAGCACTTGCACCTCCACCCTCGTCCTCGTCTGAGCTTCACGAGGCCGCGCGTGGTGGCTGGCCGTCTGCGGGGGTCTCGCGTGAGGAAGTCTGCCTTGGCCTTCCTCTGCGCTCTCCTCTGCATGGCCGCGTGCCTCCTCGCCAGCTTCAGCGCCTTGTTCTCCGTCGGCCTCCGCTCCATGGCGTCCTGAGTGCAGGCCGCAATGCGCGCCCTTACCAGGCTCGCTGTCGCCCGCACCCATTCGTAGCAGCCCATCTGGTTCTCGGGGATGGCGTGCTGCTTGGCTCCTGCATCGGCCAGTCTGTCCGCCTCTCGATTACCTTCCCAAGCCTCTCTCGGGATGTGCTTCTCCACCGCCTCCGCCTCCGTCAGGTGGCTGTTCAGGTGGCACAATGTGATGATCTCTCTGCCACCTCCTCTCTCGGCGATGGCCTTCCGCACGCGGCGCCAGAGGTCGCAGTTGGCTGCTCCTTCTGGTCTCTCATCGCGACGTGCGTGCCAGCCGACGAGGGTGATCTCGCTGTCCGTCCAGAAGGTCAGGTCCCCGCACGTCGACTCCAGGCAATTGATGAGCGACCACAGCTCCGCCCTGTTGTTGGACTGGCGCGTGCCTGGCAGCGGGCCGAACTTCACGGCCCAGGTCGGGAAGTCTCTGGGGCGCCCTCTGGTGTCCAGCATCACCCAACTCCACCCGCATCGCCTGTACCTCACGTCGCTGCTGTACTCGCCGCCTGAGCCGTCCCCGCAGATGGTGAGCTGCCCACCTTCTGGGGCTTGCAGTCTGCCTCCCTGGAAGCACTGCCCCAGCGGCGTCTCCTGCTCCTCCGTGTCGCACGGGGGTGGCACCGTCCAGGCCTTAGGCGTGAGCCCTCTGAGCCAGAAAGCTGGGGCTCCCGCCACACCAGCTTCGGCTCTCGCGACGAGTCCTGCCGTCTTCTCGACCACCTCCGAGGGCTTCCTCGCAGAGCATGCTCCCCAGATGCGGTGGAAGTCGTCATCGCGCTGCCCGCGCTCGCAGGTCTCATCGCCTGTGTTGAACTCCTGGCGCTTCCTGGCCTGCGTCCATGTGCCTGCGCAGGCTGCCGCCAGCAGCGCCCCGTAGGTCTGGTGCTTGCCGCGCTTCCTGAGGGACTCCAGATGCTTGATCATATCCGTGCAGTCCACCCCGTGCTCCATGCCAGCGCCGTTGTGGTGCGCTGCTGCCTGCCTCCACAGCTGCTTCCTCACGCTGTCCAGGAGCGCCTCGATGATCACTTCTGGGTCTCCGTCCTCCTCGTCCTCTGGGAAGCGCCATCTGCAGCCGTCCTCGTCGATCCAGATGTCTGGCCCCCTCGAGTCCCAGCCTAGCTCCCAGAGTAGCAGGATGATGCCGCCCATCACTCCTCGTCTCTGCTGCCAGCGCCGCCTCGGGTCCGTCTGCAGGAGCCTGAAGTATACCCTGGGCCAGGCCTTGCGCGCCTGCTCCCGCGTGTCCTGGCTCTTGGCCCACAGGTCGAACCAGGCTCTGAGCTGGCTCCGCGTCATGGCGACCGCTGGGTCGACCCCCTCCAGCGCCAGGAAGGTGGTGAGGCATCGGCCAGGCCACGCTCTCCCCGGCGCCTGCGCATACCTCCTCCTGGCGAGCCTGAGGGCCCACGGAGAAAGCCCATGGGCGGCCACCCCGTACGCCAGCGAGGCTGATGCTCCTTGGTGGGCCACTCCTCGCCTCCTCTTCATCTTCAGCTTGCGCAGCTTGAAGCCGACCGATCCGAACCTCTTGTACGCGAACTTGGCCCTCTTCGCATGCGTGGGCCTCCTGGTAGTACCTCTCGCAGCACGGTCAGCTCCGAGGTCTCTGCCCTCTGCGACCGCCTTGACCTTGATCCCAAGCTGGTTGAGCCTGGGCTGCACCTGGAGCGTGGCGCCGAAGTCCGAGGTGAAGATCAGCGTCTTGTCCGCAAGGCTGAGCCCGTGCTGCTCCAGCCCCCACTTCAGCTTGATCGTGGCCATCGTGAGCTGCTCCGTGACCGCCTCCTTGCTTCCGACGGCCTTGATGCTGATGTCGTCGAACCAGGCTCGCGGCATCGGCTTGGGCAGCGCCGAGGCGACGTCCACCATGTGGCTGAGCACCGCGTAGACCACCGTCTTGGCCGCGTTGTTGGAGTGCCTCGAACCCGCCAGGATCGATCTGCCGGCCAGCATCGGCTCCGAGTACGAGTTCTTGCACCTCAAGACTCGGGCTCCCGAGTGCTGCAGCAGCAGCATGGTGAGGAGCCTCGGGCAGAAGTTCAGCTTGAGCGCCTCTGGGATGAGGGTGTCGATGCGCAGGCTGTCGTAGAACTTCTCGATGTCTGCCAGCGTGCAGCCCTGGAAGATGCCGAGCGCGTCGCAGCACTCGTCCGAGAGGATGCGCCTCAGCGCCTCCCTCTTGCAGCTGTTGCCCGCCACCGCCGCGTCCCACTCGCGCTCCTGCTGATTCGCCCACTCCCTCACCGCGGGCCTGTGGAGGAGCTCCCAGCAGCGCGCCAGCTGCGAGAGCAGAGCCAGCGCGCGGTCGCCCTTGGCTGGCTTGGGGATAATCATGACCAGCGCGTTCCGGAGCTGCCAAGGCCACATCAGCTTCAGCTCGCACTCGTTGAACAGGTCCACGATGGCTTGTCGCCCCGCCGTCGATAGCCGACGGATGTCGCTACAGCAGAGCTTGTATACTCCCTGGCCCTTGTCGGGCTCCCCCGCGAGGGCGAGGTCCAGGTCGTCGACAGTCCACTATGGCGCGTCTACGGCTGCCGCTCGCCTCCTGAGGTCCCCGAGCAGCTGCGTGTGCGTGCCGTGGGCGACCCCCTCGCACCTCCAGATCTTCGCGAATGCCTCGGCCTTGGCGTCCACGGTCTCCATCGGGCTATATGTCACGCCCGTCTCCGTTGCCAGCTCCTCCTCGCGTCTGATGGGCGGCTTGATGATCCTGTGGAGCACGCCTGGCTGCTTCTCTGCGGCGGCTAGCCACCGCCCAAAGCTCCGCGTACTCTCCCTCAGGTCCCTGTTCACCGCCGCTCTCCTCTCCTGCTCGGCCTGCATTGCCATGCCCTCGACGATGTCCGCGTCGAGGTCCTCCAGCGCCGCCAGCCTCTGCCGCCAGATGCTGCGGTGCAGGCGCGCCGTCTCCGAGGCCTCGCGGCCTGCCTGGGGCATGCCGTCGTAGGCCAGCTCTCGTCCTGCACGAGCGAGCTCCCGCTGCTGCTTCGTGCCTCTGCCTCTCCTCCTCAGCTTGGCCAGCATGGTGAGCAGGACC